GCAGTGGATTCCATCACACTGTTGTGTCTTAGGAAATGAGCTGGCAAACAGGATGGCCAAACTAGGAGCACAGAAAGAGCAACCAGACAACAGCGTCAACTACACAGAAATAAAAACTATTATAAATACATGTACACTATTTAAAGCACCACAGACACCAGACAGCTACCATGAGCTGTCCCGCCAAGAACAAGTGATTATCTTCCTACTAAGGACACAACACACAAGACTGAGACAACATAATATGTACAGATGTTTTAAACTAGTACTATTACCAAAATGCCAGTGTGGAGAGGTGGACCAAACTGTTGAACACATCCTTCAGCACTGCAAGACACACAGGGCCCTAGCTGAAACAGGAAACGTGGCCAACCCCACTGACACTACAAGGGAAGCTATATGGTCCGACAGATGAACTGAGCAGGACGGCCCAATTTATGACAGATACCAGACTTCGAATGTGATGCGATCGAGAAGAAGAAGAAATGATATTATCTAAAACAAATAAGTTTGTGAGCAAAAGCAGTCTGCTCCAATTTCTTTATAATGTTTTATTGCAATATATGAACTCTTCATCGCGCATGCAAAAGACGTGAGTTTGAATCCCCCATGATCTGCTGTGCGGTGTAGTAGTTAAGTGCTTCATTGTCGCACGCAGGGTACCTGAGTTCGTTTCTCTTATACTAGGTAGTCTGAGCTGAGTGTTACTAAAAATCTGCACATCCACAGCTGAGTGCTATATAGTCGACTTCGCTTGTGTTGAGCTCGCTTGATTTGATCTTCGGTTAGGTTGATCTTTTTCTCTGGTCCCAGCATCTCTTTTTCATTACAGATCTGCAACGGTTAAATTGCACTTTGGATGAGTTGATCTTTTTTTTTTGCTCCCCCAACTCATCCGTCGTCGACTGTACTTTCTGTTCATGGTTCTGATATTGTGATAAGATGTTCTCCTTAATTACACAATATTTGTACGTCTTTGCTTTTTATCTTCATCAAGTATGTGGTTGGGGGGGGGGGGTACCACTGCTAGGTTGTTCTTTTCTCTTTATACTTTAGTGTCTGGCTGTCTATCTAACCTTCTCCCTGAACTTAATGACTTTTATATATTAGGCTTGCGGTGCTTCTCTTTACTCAAACATAGAGAGTGGGTGGTTGACGGGTGCTCTGGTGTGGTTTCCTTCTTCTTTCCTATCAAACATCTGTCGTCCTTATCTCCCCTCCTTCTTTTTTGTGTTTGTTACTCTCTTGTGATACCTCTAATCTTCTGGTGCTCATTTTACCTTATGCAGTTGCGAGCGCCGTAAAACGTCTACAAAAACCCCCAAAAACACGTAGAGTCAGTAAACTCTTAAAATGTGTCCAGTTATACACGGTAACAATTTTTTTTAAAAGTACACCTTTCCCTTTATAAGTGGGTTGCTGGTGGGTGCTCTGGTGTGGTTTGCTCCTTTTCTCGTATCAAATAACTATTTTCCTTATCTCTCCACCTTCTTTTTAGTGTTTGCTACTCTCTTGTAACACCTTTAATCTTCAGCACTTATTATATTGTGTGACCTAATTGTGTTGCAAATGCCGTAAAATGCCTACTTAAACAAACAAAAAAAAGCAAATATATATCACTTAGTTATGAAATTTTCTTTTGCTCAGAAAGTAGATGATCAGCATTATGAAATTTAGCTCTGTTTGCAATTATTATGAACACAAGTGTTTCAATGTATTGTTTTGCCCGAAGTGAATGTCATGTAACTTAATGCGGTTTGCTTTTGTCATAACCTATAAACATGAACATATTACTTGCCTTTTTACCCTCTTTCCGTGCTTGTTAAGTTTTATGCGCAGGGTCCGACTATAGGGAGAATTTTCCTTGAGTATCTCAGTCTTTCTGCTGGGATGTTCAATCCCCCTCAACCCAGGTTGACCCTGATAAGTAGGAAAAAAGCGCGCCTCCTGAATGATCTAAATTGTACTGTTAGTATCCAAAGACTGGGGGAAAAAATTTACTATCCAGCCCCCATCCACTCAAATAAAATATCGTTTATAGGTGTGGTCTCTGGAGGTGAAGAATAAGTTTTATTCCATTTATCTAACAAAACAATCTTTGCTCTAATTCAATCAAACGAACAACAGTATGATGCTAAATGTTCACTACTCCTTATTGGATCTGCAGTACTGTACATCCAAGACTAGGTTATGATAGTCTGAAAGATATGATCAAGGCATGTTGGAGCAAACTTTTTGACATCAGCTGTCAGTTTGTAAGTGTTTGAGTGCAAGTAATCCACAGCTTGCACTGTATGCCTCTCTAGAAGCTGAGAAAGGTTGTTTTTTTTCGTGGGG